GTGATTGGTTTTTAATTGATCTCCTGCAACAGTGTTTGGTGAAGGGATGTGTAGGTCAATCTCACCAGAAAACGGCGGTTGATTCCCAATGTATTTGAATTTTGCTGTGATGATTTGGTGTGCGCATACATATACACCTTCGCGTGAGGTCGAGACTACCCTCCATTCCAGGAAGCATGAGGCCTATTCAATTAGTTGTGGGGAAAGTCGAGCACCAGTCCTTTATCACCTTTAAGGAAATAGGGGGAATACATCTCATATCCTTGACTCAATGCTAGCTTGGAGTAGTTATGGGAATTAAATCGGAACCTGGTCATGTCTGTCAAATAAAATACAAAATCTCAGTATGCCTTAACCGGAGCCAAAGGAAGATGGCTCTAAGCGCATGTCGGTATAAATTTTTCGATAAAATAAATTTACATTAGAATAACAGAAACCCGTCATTGTCTTTTGGTGATAAAAACCTACACATATATCCATCACATACTTTCACAGCATATGAAGGTCAGCTCACAATTGGTCTAGACACTCTGTAGGTTGGAATTGCGTGAACATCGGGGCAGTTCAGTTGGATAAGAAGGCAATGAAGCTGGGGCTTAAGGCTGATGAGTTTAGTCGTTGATGCTAGCAAATTGGACTTAGCAACTAATTTTAGTGTTTAAAGATGCTAATCGTTATGGGACCACTATATTATGTCATAATACTGTAAAATTAATTGCTAAAGGCTTCTGCTTTGACCATTTTTCTCAGCAAATTGAATCGAACAAGAGGCTGGCCGGTCTAGCTGTGGATACGTAGGTCAGCCACTATTATCCGTGAGACAAGAACGAAGTTCCAGAGTGTCGTTAAGTGAAACAAAATCCTAATATTTGATTTATTTTCATGATAAGGTGGGACGACGTTGCCCAGCCTAAGGGTTGTTTTGCGCTAGAGTAGAAATGATCCCCAATCCTCCAGTTCAGCCTCAGCAGCTACAACGACATTCGAAAGAAAAATTTTAATTAGTTTGTAAGGTGATGTCGGACCTGCAGCACTTTCCAGAGAAACAGGTTCTTTGGATACAAAGCAGAAGGGATCAAGGAAGAGGCCACGCTCTCTTCCTTGTCCTCTGCGTTTTTCCAGTCTACATACCTTTGAGTTCCAATTCGACGCAAATAGACCAGTCTACGCATATTATTTGTGTCAAATACTTGTTAACTTTTCATTGACATCACGTCTTTAGGTCTATCCGATCATACAATGATATGATGTACAGTTACATGCGGAATGTCGAATTTCGGTCATAAAATTTGATGGCTAAATTGGGGTCATTGTAGCAGAAGAAAGAATAATAGTATTCCAGTTGTGCGGATTTCTAAACTGACGATAGGATCTTAAATAAGAGGTGGTGTATCCATCCTAGACTGCATAAAATGAGGAAAGTCTAAAAGTAGAGTTGTGACACAATTAATGAGTAGGCCTCACGATGCCAAGGTTGTCAGTGGGTGGCATTGCGAGACCTCCTCATATGATTGTGTAGATATTCATTATAATTCATTTATAGCTCTAGGCGACCTAGGGTAAATACAGCTTTTATTTAAGAGCTACTGGTAGTTTCTAAGCTTTCTCATTCTCAATTTATATCACGTAATGTAGTCGATGTATACAGCAACTGTAAATGTGCTTCATCAACGCTCCAACTACAAAATGTGATATCAGAAATGCTTGACTAGTTTCTAAATTCCCATCTGACCTCTGACCTCTGACCCAGGGGCACTTGTGACAATGTGGCATAGTGGTGACATATGCAGAAAAACTAGGTTTCGAAGCATTCTCTATTGATGTACTGTGACATGACTTTCCATTTCGAAAGAAAAATGGTTTGAAGGAATATGTGATTGGTTTCACTGGGAAATCGAAGGAGGAGGAAGACTGCTGTATTGTGCGAAGAAGTCCTCGGCTCATCGTCCTGCAACCGTGATGAACTTATGCTAAGCTTTCGTCTGTACCACCCTGACAGACAGCATCAGGGCAAGAATGCATATTTTACGAAATAAAGCAAAAATATATTAAAGCAAGAGACAAGGTGACCAGCTGCAACCCTATTCGCTTCTTTAATACACCTTGGCGAACTTAATGAGTCATCCTATGATTTGGTTGGCTACCTCAAATATACTCATCCACAAGCATGCATATGAAAATACCTTTTGGGAAGCAAGGTTATGTGAAATTTAATAATTGTGGGAAAGTTCAACTAGCCGTCATCATCATTTTAAACTAAAAAGGATAGATAGTCATAGAAAGTCGGTTTAGAGAATATCAATTTTGACTTTGCCATTGGATCAGAGGACGGACGAGTTTACAAGAACGCACAAGTCTCTCCCATATTGCATTTGATAGTGAAACTGTCGGTGAGGCAAACTTCGCTTTTGTCATTGAAATCTACTAGTTTACTCATATTCATAGTACTTAAGCTTCGAGACTATAAGTACATCTTGAATATGAATTATCGAGTTCTACTCATAAGCTCGGGACCTACATCCCATGACTACAAGTCGTGTATTCAATTGGGATAGGAAAGTAATGGTTTGTTAAGCTTACTTTCATTTCGAGTGAAGGCGTTTGGATCATTTATGTTGGCGCAAGTAAAGCCAATCGACAGCTGATCAAGAGGTATCCGCTGTCGTCTTCTGGTTGAATAGAACTTCGAATCGCTTCACCAAACACTTTCACTTGAAATGGAAGTAAGCTCAACAAGTATGAAACAAGAGATTACTAAAAGCCCAACTTTTCTTCTCAAATACATGCTTTTCTTATCAACAAACCCACTATAAATCCGGGTATGGTAGAGGCCTTGCTCGTCTTGAAATCTATGTCCATCCTGTCGTTTACGGGCAATCATGAAAATGCGGTGTAGGGGTAACATGTCGAAAGTGAAAATGCTGACTCGCCAGATTTCACTCCTGTTAGGGATTCTGGTGAGGCTCAGGTGGAATCTGTCTTGAACGGGAATACCCTTTTGGTGGAAAGTGAAAAGTTTAATGGGAAAATTCAACTATCAGTCCTTAAAAGCTTTATGCTCACTCGGGTGACTAGAAGCCTTATTCAAGAATTACTGATACTCCTAAAATCCGTCTTGCTATGATTATAAGACAGGCAATTTTGTGAAAAGAAGGAAGGAATGTGGGGATTTATGTGAAAACTTCTTATGCTATTTTGAGTTAGGCTTAGGGAGGAGGAACCACCAAACAAAAGAAGGCTAGAGGTTGTTTAACCTTGTTGTCACAACATGGTCATATTGGTAGGAAGACTTAGAAGAACGCACCCTAGTCCGGAGTCCATTGTCTGCATGATCATTTCCAAAGTTGAACCGTGGACGTGGTACATTCCCAAAACGTTTCGCCGGCATCGTCAGTGAGTCTCGCCATTCGTAGCACCATATTACAACTCGTCAAAGAGACAAGTGAAGCCCATTCATAGACCAAACGTGTGCTAAACAATTGTGGTATCTTCTCTTCTATACGAAGAAAAGTTGGGTTCAGAGGAATCTCTTGTTTCATAATTGTTGAGCTTACTTCCATTTCGAAGGTCAGTTCCACCAGAAGACGACGGCGGATTCCTCTTGATCAGCTGTCGATTGGCTTTACTGGAAG